CTGACCACAGGCCCCTCTGCTGACCACAGACCCTCTGCTGACCACAGGCCCCTCTGCTGCCTACAGACCCTCTGCTGACCACAGGCCCCTCTGCTGACTACAGACCCTCTGCTGACCACAGACCCTCTGCTGACCACAGGCCCTCTGCTGACCACAGATCCTCAGACTTTATCCGAGACCCTCCTTAGTCCACAGCTTCCTCCTCAGTCCTCAGGCCCCTCTGCTGACCCGGGGCCCCTGGCGCTTCAGGGCCCTGCCTCCGGCCACTCACTCAGTGGTCTCCTTTCCCTGCCACATGGGCGAGGGCAGGATGACTCACTCTCCCCTCAGCCTGTAGGCCGCTGAGGCCTGAGGAAGTGCCTGGAAGCCCACGCCGACCCCTTCAAGCCCGCCCAGACTTCACAGGTCGGAACGGAGCTGCCCTGACCTGCCTTCCCCTCAGCATCACCCGGATCATTTCCTCTCGCCAAGGCAGCCTGTCCCTGCCTCCTCCTCTGCGTCTCTGTCCCTTCCTTTCCTGGTGACTCCCTGGAGTGTGAAGAGTGGGCTCCCTGCCCAGCTCCACTCTCCTTACTGCCAGCATCTCCATGATAGGGACCTCACAGCCTTTCCGCCGAGCTGGCATGGATGCTACTGCAGGACGTGAGATCACCGTGTGGTCCCTCCCTAGGATTCCCTGCTTAGCATCTTTGCATTCACCTGGCTTGAGTGTCAGAAGGGATTGTCCACTCTACCGCTTTGCATTCTTTTGTAATGACCTTCATTCCATCAAGGCTGCTATTCGCTGAGCAGGTTGTATATAGAAAATGCAAACTAGAAATTAGCCAGGCATGGTGGTAGGCACCTGTAATCTCAGCTACTCAGGAGGCTGAGGTAGGAGAATGGCTAGAACTCTGGGGGCGGCGGTTGCAGTGAGCTGAGCTCGTGCCGCTGCACTCCAGCCTGGGCGACAGAGCGAGACTCTGTCTCAAAAAAAAAAAAAAAAGAAAATGCAAAACAGCAATGCTCGTTAACATGTCTAAAGCCTTGTCAGAGAAAGTAGAGAAGAAATAGGAACCCCCAAGTCTCCAGGCTCCCTCAGCGAGTAGGTGGAGAGGGTTGTGGGGGTGACTCCTGGGGCCTTGGAAGGGACTTTGCCCTCACTCCCTCATCTCAACAGGGCACCCAAAATTTCTTTCTATGGAACAGAGTTTTGTCTAGTAAGGGATAAAACATGAATGGGCCCCAGGGAGACGCATCGCGACATGTAAATCCATCCTAAAACGCTTCTTTCTATCAACCACAAGATGTAGTTCTGACTCGTTCTGGGAAATACTCACACCAGGCATTTCAGAGTTTCCTAAAGGATGCTGCATTTGTATAGAAGATGCAATTCCCTTTAGATGCCCTTCAGCTCCCAGCAGTGTTTCTGCTCCTAATATTAAGCACATCCTTGTTGTGAAGATTTTAAAGTCTACTTCAGCCTCTGGACTTTATGAAAGCAATATTGTTTATATATTTCACCACATTGATAAGAGCTCACTAAAATCCCACAAAAATGTTCCTCCCAGGCATGGCAAGTCATTAGATGCCGACGGTAAATTCTGAGTAAGTCAGGCCGGTGGGCATCAGCCACAGGGTGTCAGGTTGTGAGTCGTCCTAGTAAACACATTCACGATTCAAAGACCTGCTTAGCTGGATTTTAGTGAGGTTACCATGCCCATGACTCGGATTGTCTTTGCAGGGATGATTTTACAGGCTCAACCCCCAACAAAGTCAAGGCAAAAAGTAAACCAAAGGAGAAAATGAGACCTAGCCCCTCTCCATACAGAGAATCAGTTGTAGAAACTCACTCCATTCCCCAGCTATCCTGCTACTTGAAATCAATATATTTATTTTTGGGGAAAGGATAACAGAAATTTGGGAAAATTAAGTTATTCATCTAGATGCTATTTGCAAACTCTCCAGCTCCTGGAATCATTGCTCCCCTCCCCTATTTACCACGAGGAAACCGGTGTGTTCTGTCGGAGGCCCTTGACAGGAGCACTCTGGGGCAGCGGAGTGGGTGGGAGGTGTTTTCTCAGTGGGAAAGAGGAGGACCTGAACCGTTTTTCCTCAGGGTAGAACTGGAGACAGCTAAGGGGGTGGGCGTCCATGCTGTGAGTCCCCCAGGAGCTCCCCGGAGCCCCAGGGCTGACCCATGCAAGAAGGCACTTCTTCCCAAGGGGCCGCCCCAAGGCGACCTCAGCCTGTAATTGGAAGTGAGAACTGAAAGTTTCCACACTGAGCATGTGTGGGTGTGTTCTTATTTCTTACATCCTTCTGCAGTGACAGTGTTGTTTTTCAGGAGCCTGGAAGCTTGGTGAGGGTGAAACATCCCTGAGAAATGCCTTCATCCCAACAGAGCTCCTGCTTGAATGCGACATCTGGGAGAGCAGTTGCGTATCAGCTTACAATGACCTTCGTCTCAAAAGGAGCCTTTAAACATGCGGATTTCCACGGAGACATCATAGTATGATTATACGTGTTTTGGGCATGAAGCCTCGAGGAGATTCGTGGGAGGATTGTGGCACGCTCGTGCGTGGGTCACAGCGACAGCCTGCGGCACCGGGCATTGCCACTTGGAGGTCAGAATGAAGAGACGGTGGCGCAGCCCGGCTGTGTCTAGGGGGACAGGGCCGCCCGGGGAGCCGGCTCTGGTTCCGCCGCTTTCTGCGCGTGTGTCCAGCTCTCCTCCGTGGGTCACATCTCATCAAGCCTTTCCGTTCCACCATTATGTTAACAAATAATGGACCTATTGCTGTGTTACAATATTTAAAATTTTTCTGTTTTAATTGCTAATATGGTAAATCTTGACAAACATAATTTACATATATAAATTTTTCTTGGAGAAATCTTTCAAAACCAAGCCATTAAACGTGGGTTGGAGCTGAGAGAAGATAGGGCCTTGCCTTGCTTTGTGGCCTGAAGGTCAGGCTGGACGGGCCGACTCTCCACTGAGGGGGTGGCCCTGACGGCATTGGAGCCCTGGATTCGGGCCTGGTTGGCCTCTTGGAGCTACCTTTGCCCCGGAAGAGGACAGGCTCCCGGAAGATCCTGCCCTGCAGGTGCTCCCTCTGGCTGTTTGCCCTGCAGGACTTTCGAGCTCCAGGACCTGAATGAGCCCTGTATAGGTTTTATTAGAATACCAGACGAGCGAAGAATCTCCTCTGTTAGCTCAGTATATTAATGATAAACACCTGTATGTTCTGAAATCCAAGGTGGCCCAAGAGTATTCCCAATTCCCAATTCAGAAATTGCAGTTTAAATGTGGTCTCTCAGGAGTGTTAGAAATGCCTCTCTTCACTGTACTAAATGCAAATGAATTGGCCTTATGTTTGGGTTGCCTGGGAAAGGAGGAGACGAGGAGAGGAAAACAGGGCGTGGGGCCCCCAGAAAGTGCCGGATGGCCAGAATGTCACCGCAGCTGCTGCCAGTGGCTGACCTCGGAGCTGGCCAGTCCTCTTCACATGACTGCTGTCACCCTTCAGTAATTGCCATGCTGTCACCTGAGCTCATGCCTCTTCACTTCTGTCATCAATCACAGTTCTCAGATGTCTCATATACATTTTAGCCATTTTGCCTTATACACCAAAATACCCCACATACGAAAACGTGAGGAAAAGTACTTAAAGCGTAAAACTGCAGAGGGCTTTTGGGACCCCTTCACGTCACACTCAGGCTGCAATCGAAAGTCAACCCAAACACGCTCGCCGGGTCCCTGAGTCTGCTCTCCGCACTGCTGGGGTCCCGAGACCCCTTCAGGAGGCCCACAAAGGGAAAATGATTTTCATCGTAATGCTGAGCCTTTTTTTTTAAAAAAAAACTATGTGGATATTACATTGCTGGTGTATAAAGGCAATAGTGGACAAAACTACTGAGTCCTTAACCCAAAGCAAGCCGAGGCACCAAACCACACAAATAATTGTGGAACTCTTCACCATCACCCACCTGCAGGAAAAAGAAATACAGTTTCCACCTAAGAATGTCCAGAATCAAGCAGTGAGGTTCATTATTAACTGTTCAGTATCAATCCGTGCAGGTGTGTCTTTTCAATATTCTGTGCCACGACATGGGAACTACATGAAGCATTTCTGCAGGTTGGGGTAATGTGCTCGCTGCTGTGGGGCTGCACTGAGGCCAGCATTCCAGTTACCTGCTGAGCCAGCTACTTCGGTTGTTGCTTTCTTTAAATGGAGCACAGTTTTCACTTGAAAGAACAACCAATAGGCAAACTATGGTATTCAGACCTAACTAACAGCCTACTCCTCCAAGGGAAAGAACCAGTAGTATTTGTAGCTCGTGATAAAATCTGAGCTTTTGATAAAAGTTAGACTTTGGGGTCACTTTTATTCATTGCCTTGAGCTTGACAGTTTTACGATATTTAGAGGCTTTTTTGGGAGATGGGTGGCAATATTAACTGTGTTTTTTTATAGTGTATAATGAAAGTGTGGAAATAAACAAAGACCAACTCAGTGAGAACAGGCAGAGGCTGTGAATTTGGGGCTTGTTGGTCACCACTGTGACTGTCCGGCAGGGACTCAGAGGCAGGGGTACAGGTGTGTGTCCGGCAGGGACTCAGAGGCAGGGGTGCAGGTATGTGTCTGGCAGGGACTAAGAGGCGGGGGTGTGGGTGTGTCTGGCAGGGACTCAGAGGGACTCAGAGGCAGGGGTGCAGGTGTGTGTCCGGCAGGGACTCAGAGGCAGGGGTGCGGGTGTGTGTCCGGCAGGGACTCAGAGGCGGGGGTGCGGGTGTGTGTCCGGCAGGGACTCAGAGGCGGGGGTGCAGGTGTGTGTCCGGCAGGGACTCAGAGGCGGGGGTGCGGGTGTGTGTCCGGCAGTGACTCAGAGGTAGGGGTGCGGGTATGTGTCCGGCAGGGACTCAGAGGCAAGGGTGTGGGTGTGTGTCCGGCAGGGACTCAAAGGCAGGGGTGCGGGTGTGTGTCCAGCAGGGACTCAAAGGCGGGGTGCAGGTGTGTGTCTGGCAGGGACTCAGAGGTAGGGGTGCAGGTGTGTGTCCGGCAGGGACTCAGAGGCGGGGGTGTGGGTGTGTGTCCGGCAGGGACTCAGAGGCGGGGGTGTGGGTGTGTGTCCGGCAGAGACTCAGAGGCAGGGGTGCAGGGATTTATGATGAGAAAACTGCAAGCCCCAGATGTACCCTGCCCGAGGCTGCTGCTGGGGACACTGGTGGCACATAGCTGGAATTGGAGCATCCTACGGGACTGGCCAGGGGTGTATCTGGTTCTCTCTGGTTGGCGCTGAGTGGGAAGCAGGGAAACAGTGAAGAAAGCTGTTAGTCATTGATCAAGCCCTGCCATCATGTGTCAGCTGTGGTAGGGTCCCTGTCCCGCCTCCTAGACAGCAGGCTGCTCTCTGGGGCTGGCGTCTGCAGATACTAGGCTACATTCAGGTTTCCTGGGCAGGCTGCCACAGGTGTGGGTCAGTTTGGGTTTTTCTGTGGCCTGCCCAGCATGCCTTTGTATATTCAGTCCCTCGGAGATGTTTGCATTTGGAAGATCTGCACGTCTCAGTAAACCGATGTTTTCCAAACAATGAATGCATGAAGTTACAAAATTCAGTCTGAGAAAAAGGCCCATTCGATGGGCAAGGTGGACAAATGAAATTAGCATAGGAGAGAAGGCCGTGTTCACCGGTGCGGTTTCGGATTCCATATTGCCATTAATCACTTTACAAACTATCACTTTTCAGGGTTTCGTGA